CGAGGTGATCGTAGTCGTGCATGATGGTAACTTCGACAACGTCGTCGTCGCTGCCGTGGCCATTGCGGATGGTATCTTGCGATGGGTTTGGCGGTGTTAACTCGACATCCGGAGATTGGCTTGCCCTGCTGTTGTAGTTGTGGGCTTCACGAGTTATATTGTCGGGATCAATTTGAGAAACAGGTATGAAGGTTGGAGTCCGGAACGAGCTTGTAAGGGGGGTGTTGGGAAAAGAGTCAAATGGTATAACGTTTGGTTGCGTCTGCATCCTCTGCCACGTCAGCCTCATCCTATGATGTGGCGAAGCTGCGGTGCCTCTCGCGTTGTTAACTGTCGTGCACAGGACCTGAAGCTTGACGGTTGTCAAATGTGAAGGACATCTCAGGGTTGATGCGACGGTCTTTTCCTGAGAGGTAATCCAGCAACACCTCTTGCGTAGATTGTGCCGTCGATGCTCATAGCCTGATGGCTCTCAAGAGCGTTGATGCGTGCGACGAGCTGCTCAACGATGGCGGCACTGACGGATGTCACCGCTGATGGCAAATTAGTCGTTGCTGGTGGTGGGCCCAGAGAGTCCGCAGTACCTTTTCCTTCGGGAGCCATCGTGATGCTGACTTGTGACAGGTATCTATAATGGATGAGTCAATAAGGAGTTGTTCTGTCAAGAACAGGAACTTGGCATATCTTCTAATCCACTCTAGTTCTCATACCATATTGATATAACCAAGAATCGTAGTGGACAGAATAAGCTAGCCAAGTTGTGAGAAGACAATTGAAGTCTTTGTAATGACCTTGTTAATAATAGTTGAAAGAGGACAAGGTGATTAGGATAGAGATACACGGAGTTTACATGGCAATCTAACAAGCCATGTACTCAGAGTGGTACATTCCCTTAATAACTGTATTGCATTGCTACAGTAGCCACGACTATTCCTATACTCAACAGTTAACATGTTGCATCGTGTAACCTCCAAGTACGGTTGCTGGACGGTCAACAGTCGCGACCGTTGACTAACTGCGACTGTTGACCTTCGGGTGGCTTTCAAGCTACCGCGTGCTCTATACGAGCTTAACGCGATACTGGTACAAGTGCGCTGCCTCGTTATGAAGTGATCTGCTATGAGAAGCCTTCGAGAATGTTATAATAACCATTGGTGATTCCAACAACATGCATGTAGGGGGTGAATGCGCCGCGCGTGGTTGTTTGTCGACTCCACCCAAACACCCCATCATCTCCCACGCTCTCTTCACCATCTAGGTTGCCTGGTTTACCTTGTTGTTGTGCCATTCTCCCTCCGACGCTGTAGCTTTTCTCCAGAATGCAGTAGACCGTCCTCCGCCATGGCAGATGAAGAGGAAGAGGTATGGTAGCATGCGGAGACTAGCTCCGTACCCAGGCATGGAGTGTCTGTTGTCATCACACAAGCCGTCCACACCGTCTACTCGCCTAGAAACGCCTCCCGTCACCTCTCAAGCAGAGTATCCAGGCTTGCCTGCAGGATTTAAATCGCCTCCAACCTCTCAACATGTTCCATGTAATCCGCTGCCAGAAGTTCAACATGGCAGGCAAAATTTTGCCACTTACAAGCAGGCCCTTCTCAGATTCACACTTACAAACAGCTCATCATCACCTGTCCTTGTTCGGCCCACTGTCCACCCTCATGTTGCTGCCACTTTTGTTCAACCCCCGCATCGTCTTCCAGACCCAGCACAGCGCCCACTTGCCGCCCAATCGTCATCAAGCGGGCAGCTAGGGTCAAGTGAGGTCTCTGAGGCGTTTTCAGAGGAAGCGAATATGCGTTTCCTTGAGGCGCCGTGCCAGTACAACGGTGAATGCAACAACGGTTTCTTTGGCTCTTGCTGCGTCGAACTAAAAATGGCATCTCTTCTCTTAAGTGTTGTGTTTGTACATATTATGGTGTTCAGTGGATGAAATATGGGCGTGAGGGCGATGGTGTCATTCATGTGCAGGTGCGAACAATCAAGAAGTACGCTAGCTGCAACAAGCACAAGGAGGCACTCCAACAAAGCAGAAAGCGCTTGGGGTGGTGAAGACACAGAAATGCAAGTGACCGACGTAGAGAAGAGGCGAGTCATCTCCTTGCTCTGGGTCTTGTACTTCATCCGCAAATGTGACGCGCCGATCGAAATTTGGGTCAAGTCGTGAATTATTTAGTGTTACGGAGTGTTCCGAGCTTTCCGGCTAAGGGACCTACTACTTAGCGTGAGAAGCTACGGTATTTGAGATTTAGTCACCCCTTGCTCGAGCTTGTTCAGCATATGTTTGCCGTTTTAAATCTGAGTTGCAAGAATGGCTTTGAACAGCTCGTACGCGCCACGGCCCAAAAGCTGCATGCGACCCAGATGGAGCACATCAAAGCGAGCCCCTTCCTCAGTCTCACCTGTGATGAAAGCACTGACAGAGGGCCGGGCAGACACCTGATATTGTTCATCGCGTTATTGCGGGACAATCGAGTCGTGACTGAGTTTCTGGCACTACTAACGAAAGACGAAGTGTGATGCAACCTCTTTGTTTGCAGTTTCTGAAGCACACCTGACATCAATTCCTATAAACATGTAGCGGTTTTCCGGAATGAGCACCGACTAGGCGTCGAACATGATTGAAGGAACAAACGGGCTGATGGCTTGCATCCAACGACATGTGCCTCGTCTTGTCTCCTCTTACTGCATCGCGCACAGGTATGGTGTGTGCGTCAAACTACTGTCCAATTCTTCATTTCTATATACTAACCAATCCTTCTCTTTACCCAAGGCACAGAGAGGCACTTGCTACAAGGGATGCGGCCATAGACACGTTTGAGCTGACCATCATCGACATCGTCATCCGCACACAGGTGGAGCAACTCGGACACTAGTAACATGCACAACAAGTTCCGGGACTTGCAAGAGGAGTTAACAGAGATGAGTCTGGAGCTTCAAGGCATTTTTCACGTCCGGTGGCTGTCTCCCCGGCAGCAGTTTCAAGACTGATTGCAATCCTGCCCGCCGTTGTGTTGCTGCTGATGGAGTACGATGAGGAGATGTACAAGCTTGTCACCTCCTACAAGTTTCAAGTGTATCTGTACTTCCTGGCAGGCATGCTTGACCTTCTGAACAATCTAAACCTCGCCTCTCAACATCGCGAGGTTGGTTACAGGATCCTAATCGGGTGTCGGTTCCTAAGGGTGTTTGTCTAATCGTGTGTTCATTCCTAAACTACGAAGCACCCTTTCCCTCGCAAATTGACCTGTCTATCGTACAAGGAGTGGTCCGGCGGACCCTCATGTACATTAAACAGCGCTACATCGAGTGTGGCAAGGAGTTTGGCGAGGGATTGTCGCCGCTGCTTTCTACCTTCCTTGACAAGCACCAAGATGACCGTGAAGTCACCATTGAAGGCAAGAGGTCAGATAGGGATCCCGTGTCAGACGACTTCAAACCATGAAGACGCTCCGGGCGGCGACCACGACGGCTGTACAAGCGTGTTTAGGCAGTTTGCATGTGCGGTCGTGTATCACCTGGACTTCCGCCTGGAAGATCTTGACAAATTGTCCAAAGCGCGCCTCTTTACTTCGGACGCGTGGCTACAGTCGAGAAGCGAGAGGATGGGCTAGTGCATGGAGTGACTACACACGCTTTTTGAGCTGTTTCGCGGTGGCGGCAAGCAGGATTGCCTTCCCGGTATGTTAAACCATGTCCATGCTGTTATTTTAGGCTGATTAAAAACCCTCTCACCTTTGATGTTTAAATACAACTAATATGCCGTACTCTCACATCACACAGCTCTATCTTGGTTCTTCCTTGTGCAGTAGTGGACACGGCGCAGAAGGAGCTTCAGGTTTTCGTCCCCGTCATGTATGCCATTCCGAAGGGGGAACGGTCGTTTTATCAAGCCCTGGAGTCTATCCTCAAGTCCAGCGACATGGAGCTACCCCAACTTGGTCAACCTGTAGGTTGCTGTGGCGGTACTTCCTCTGAGCATCGTCGAATACGAGCGCGGCTTCAGCAGGCAAAACGTCATAAAAAGTTGGACGCGATGTAACATCGAGAATGCGATGTTGAGCGACCGCATGAGCATGTCGCTCATAGAATACTGGCCCGATTGGGACGCTGTTGTGAAGATTTGGAGGCGAGACAAGAAGCTCAAACCCGCATTTCGCAAGTAACACCCACGGCACCTCTGAAGAGAAGGAAGGGCAAAGAGAAGGTTGTTGACTTACGCTCAGATGAAGAGATGAGAGAGGATGGGTCTGAGAGGGAGGGTTGTAGTGGTGGGGAGGGTAGTGATGGCACTTCTGATTAGACTCTTGATACTCCGAGTCCTCGCCAACTTCACTAGGGCCAACTTCACCCCGCTCGGCAAATATATTCCTAAATGTAGTTCGGACGACAGTCGTTTTTAAGAGGGTACGTTTCAGACTTCTCGGACGAGTTAGAGCTGAACAAAAACTGGGTCTCAACTCAATAAAACGTCAACCCATGCACTGCGATCTCACTGCGGGAGTTTGCTTACATCTCGACACTTGATTGACACATTCATAGCCTTCAAATTCTGGGAGTTCACTGGTCAAGCCAAAATCGGGTTCGGGGCGCTTCCCGAAAGGAGTTGCAGGGCGTGAAGTTGGCGAGGACTCGGTGTGTAGTGTCTAAATTCATTGTTTCTGTTCTACTGTAGAAGTTTTAGTCCAACTTGAACAACTGTATAAACATCAGCAAAGCGAAAATTTAGTATGAATATAAGGGTACATTCGGCTCTTGACACAAATGTCTCAATCGCGTCATACAACCTCTGTACCAGTCTGCACCGCATTACACCTAAGTGTCGAACATTTCCACCGCACTGCATCTCTTCGATTGAGACGCGAGGCCTTTGTGACGCGCTTCAGGAATGTAAAACTCAACTCTGAAATTCATGACTACTCTATAGACCAAGTGTGATGGCTCAGAGTGCCCTGAACCAATACTGTAATAGGCCCTGACATCCACGTGTTTCGTGGAAGTCAGGATGACATGAGCTTGCTGCTGATGCCTGCAGCTAGCCGGCGGTACGCATCGCTGTGCAGCACCGGTGGCGCCTGCTGCTGCTCACTGCGCTCCACCTCCCACACGTGCTGCTCCAGGGGACGGGCTGCTGCTGCCTCGCCTGCCAGCCCGTGCGCCATACCCCCTGCCTGCTCCTCCCTCTGCTCCATGTGCCACCCGCCTGCCTGCATATGACTCTCGCCCACCATATTGCTCAAACCGCCTCCATGCCTCCCCCTCCCCATCTCCAGGGGCACACACCCCAGTCCATCAACATGGCCGCCGTCCTCCCACCCATCACTGCGTGCCCCCCTGTCCACGCCACAGCCAGCGCCCCACCACCCCGCCACCACCCTCTCTGCCGCTGCTGCCACCTCACCTGCCCCTGCCCCGCCCGCCCCTTGCTCACCCCGCACCACCCACCGCCCTTCCCTGCCACCACCCCGCACCCCTGCCACCAAGCCCGCACTGCCAGCATGCGCCTCGCCCCCCTCACAGCCTCCCTGCCCCCCCTCCCGCACACGCTGCTGCCCCGCCATCCCCCCACCCTCCACCGCTGCTCCCACCGGTGCGCCAGGCAGAGAAGCCGCAGTGGCAGCAGCAGCGGATGGCATGCAGGGTGTGGCGTGGGCGTGCATGGGGGGCGCGTGCATGGGGGCCGCGTGCATGGGGTAGAGCAGCAGCGCCCTGGCCCTGGCTGCTGCTGCCAGCGCATGTGAGCCGCGCACGTTCTCCGCTGCACTGCCCCACTGCACAGCCGGGAGCATGGCAGGGCGGCATGTGAGGGGAGGGGAGGGCCATGTCAGTGCGGAGAGGGGCGATGTGAAGCAGTGGGGAGAAGATACAATGCGGGGAGCACTCTTTGCCAGCCATTGATACGATGCGGACACAACAGGTGTGTGCACAGCACACGGCCCCACACAACAGGTGTGTGCACCCACCCCCAACACCCACCCGCCTGGCGGCCTCCTTGAAGGCCTCGCGGTGGTCCATGTCTGGGTTGGCCTCGCGCAGGCGCATCATCTCATCCCTGTGCACGGCACGGCGGGGCGGCGGACACACGGCGAGAGAGGCACGGGAGGGACAGGCAGAGACAGGAAGGAGCAGAGCAGGTTTCAGGCACGTGGAGAGAATGCAGAGGAGGGAGAGGTGCGAGAGTTGTGGATGGAGCAAGAGCAGCAGAGCACCCACCGGATGAAGAGGTTGTAGGTGGACGCCTTGCGATGCCTCTTCACAGGGGCCCCTCCGTCCCTCCCTGCCGCCTTGCTGCTTGCCCTGCCACCCCTCGCCTCTCCCCCCCTGCACCTCTCCTCCTCCCCGCTGCCATCACCCACCTCCTCTGACCCCTCCCCCGCCACTGCTTTACACCCTGCCATGCCATGAGGGTGCACATGCCATGAGAGGGTGCACATGCCATGAGAGGGTGCACATGCCATGAGAGGGTGCACATGCCATGAGAGGGTGCACATGCCATGAGAGGGTGCACATGCCATGAGAGGGTGCACATGCCATGAGAGGGTGCACATGCCATGAGAGGGTGCACATGCCATGAGAGGGTGCACATGCCATGAGAGGGTGCACATGCCATGAGAGGGTGCACATGCCATGAGAGGGTGCACATGCCATGCGAGGGTGCACATGTCATGCGATGAATGGGTACACGTGGCGAGAGCATGCAGCGAGGGAGAGTGAACACAAGCTGCTGGAGCGTGCAGATGGGAGAAAGAGGCACGAGCAAGAGTAGTGGGTGGGCGTACCAGTGAGAGTGGCGGCTCGCTCGCGCTTCCTCAGCGCCCGCTGCGCCCTCTTGCTCTCCGCCGCACTCCCCACCCCGCCCACCCCTCCATCGCTGCCCGGTGCCGCCTCTTGCGATTCAGCAGCGACGGTGAGGTGGGCCGCCGTGAGCGGCAGGGAGGGGTGCGATGGCCCGGTGGCACAGCGCAGCGCAGCGGGCAGGTGCATGCGCGGGAAGAGTGGCTGCCGGGGGGTGGGAAGAGGGGCAGATGAGAACGATTGGCAAGGAATCAAGAAAGAAGGGAAAGAGGGTGGGTCTGACAGTAGAGAGAGAGAGATGAGGAAGGGGAGGAGGAGGATGAGGAGTGCGAAAGGCAACACTCAGACGTCCACCAGGCACGTACCTCATGGCGCATGCCCTCCAGGCACGTACCTCATGGCCCATGCCCTCCAGGCACGTACCTCATGGCGCATGCCCTCCAGGCACGTACCTCATGGCCCATGCCCTCCTGCAGCGCCATCTCCCCAGCAACAGCCAGCTGGCCGCGCTTGCCACTCCCCACCGATGCTATCGCCCCCACGGGGCACAGCAGGCAGCACACGGCGCGGTGTGCGTGCCAGCCCGGCGCTGTCACCCGCTGTGGGGCTGCCGTCGCACCACGTGCGCTCCACGGAGTCCACACGCGCTGCCAGCGCCTCACCGCACGCGTGCACAGTGCGCCCAGCAGGCAGCGGGGCGAGCGCCCCTGGCGGCGCGTCATTGCTGAGCGCTCCTCTGTGGGCCCCCCTCGGCCCCCCGCCAGCAGCGGCAGATGCCACGTGCACCCCGGCGCCATGAGGCGGTGTGAGCAGGCGAGCGCAGCGCGTGCGAGCGATGGCGGGCAGGGCGTTGGAGGGCAGCGCGAGGAGCGCGGAGCAGTGGCCGCAGGAGAGCGTGCAGATGGCCGCAGCGGGGATGGCGGCCGGCATGTCCACCTGAGAGGGTGCGAGAGCGATGGGGACGGGGCGATGATGGTCGGCCACGTGATGAGGCCATGGGGGCAGCGGCATGAGAATATGAGGCACGGAAAGAAAGACAAGGTGAAGGAAAGAACAATTGTAAAGGAGAGAAGTGAAGGAGGGTGCAGACCTGAAGCAGCGAGGAGCAGTGGACGCACGTCACAAGGGCCGCAGCAAACGGCCCCTCCACCTCGCTGTCGCCCACCGCCCAACCCCCCACCCCCTGCTCCCCACCCTCCACGCCCTCCCCCGTCTCGTCTCCGCCTCCAACTGGCTCCACTGATGCTGCTGCTGCCCTCTCCCGGCAGCTCATCGCCTCTGCTGCCTGCCACACGCCACTCCCTCCGCATCGCCCCCGCCTCTCCCACTGCCACTGCCACTGCCGCCAGCAGCAGCACTCCTCGCCCGCGTGCCACCGCCCAAGCCCCCGGCGCCAGCACTGCCACTGCCGTCGCTGGGCAGCCCAGAGCCCAGGCGCGCCCCCAGGGCGTGCCACACGCCCGACCCGCACGCAGCGCCGTCGGGGCTGCAGCACGCGGCGCCGAGGCCAGGGCTGGCGGGCAGCGCGGGGGCGCCCCCAGCGGCGCCCAGCAGGTCGCCGCACGAGCCAATCTGAGACAGGTCCGCCGCTCCCACGGCGCCCTCGCCCGCACTCCCCCGCTGCCCCGCCCCCAGGCGGTTGTGAACGGTAGGGTGCATTGGAGGGGCATGCATGGTAGGGCAGGCGGGCAGATGCAGGGGAGGGAGGGCGAGGGGCGGCAGGGAGAAGGGAGGGAGCAGGTCCCAGTGGGCGTCGTCGTGCAGCCAGTCGTCCGCTCCACCTGCTGCTGCCATGCCCTCCACCCCTGCAGCAGCGCGCTCCGTGCCGGCCACAGTGGCTTGGTTGCTCCCGTGGGCAGCATGAGCAGCGATGGGGAGAGCAGTGGCACTCGAGGCAGCGGCAGCAGAGTCTGGATCCGCGGCAGTAGGGGCAGTGGCGGCAGCAGCAGGGGCAGCGGGGGCGGTAGAGGGACTATATGAATCAGCACTGGCATCGGCACTGGCAGCACCAAGAACAGCACGATCGTTGCTGTGACTGGGTGCTGTGGCTGCTGCCTGCCAAGCTGTGCTCCCACCCGCCCATGGCGCCTGCTCGCCCTGCTGTCCCTCTTCGCCTTCCTTGCACCTTCCGCCTCCTCCTCGTAACTCGCCTTCATGCCACTGCCCGCCTTCCTTTCTCCCTTCGTCGCCCTCAGCTGCTCCTCCATCGCTGTTCCCTCCCCTCATGTCACCCGCCTTCCCCTCACCCGCATCGCCGTCATCGCCGTCCAGCAGCAGGCGAGTCACGTCCGCCAGGGCCAGCTGCCCCATTCGCCGCATCGCGTCGCCCTCGCTGCCAGCGATAGCCCACTCGTCGCGCTCCTCGCTCCACGCCATGCCTCTCTCCCAACGCGAGCGTCACTCGCGTCCGCCCTCGCGCTCTCGCCACTCCTCGCGCCCTCTCGCACAGCCGCGCTCTCGCCGCGCCACACGCGCCGTCGCTGCTCTCACAGTGGTTGAGCGCGTGAGCGACAGAAGACGAGCGCAGTGGGTAGCGGCAGCAGCAGGAGTTGGCGGCAGGCGGGGAAGGCTCGGTGGATGCGACGGTGGGAAGGGGCGCCACGCGACGGTGGATGCGACGGTGGCAAGGGGCGCCACGCGATGAGAGACGAGGCGTCGTTGCTCGCCTCGCCGCACGCGTCTCCTTTAAACGCCCCTCCCATCCCCTCGCCTCTCCCCACTTCCTCTCAACAGCGACTCGCTGTTCTGCACTCGCGTGAAGCCCAGCGCATTTCCTGATTCCGCTGGGTGGCGTGAGGGTCGCGGAGTGGCGGACGCTGAGGCGGAACAACGCACCCACCGAACCGCCCACATCTGCTCCGCCGCCTCCCCCATCGCCCGGCCACACACCGCCCGCCTTATCGCTCCACCGAGCAACGCCGCGGCGAAACCCAGGTGGTGGGGGGGCTGGCGCGCCAACCTGGAAACTACATGTGCGCGACGCATTCGCGATGAACATATCGCTCGGCGACTTCAGCGGCCCTCTGATTGGCCAGGGGCCACACCGTACGCCTTTTCGCGACGAAATGAGCAGCCCTGTAGGGCGACTCGGAGGGGAGCGTTGTGCGATTTACAGCTCGGCGGCGCGAGGTAGGGGGAAGCAGCAGCGCGACGTGAGAATCAAGAACGCACCCTGCTCTGAGCAGGTAGACGCTCGGCACATCCTCTCCTTGGGGAAACTCGAAGCACGCACCAACCTTCGATAGGTCCGCCACTAGGTACATTCCCTGGGATACGTTGAGTTATGAAAGTGTTTTGAGTTTGTTACTAGTTGTTACCAGGGCCCAAAATTGGTCTAGGCCCACCCTGTCGAACCAGATTATAGTTATAGCACCGAGCTAGGTTGCGTGCACCGAATTCTGGGCTTTTCGGTTGCCACCGAATTGCCTTCTACCGAATTCGGGAAGGGTCTGTTCGGGATGCTTCGCGACCCTCAGAACCTTCGCGTAACACCTGGTTACTAGGCATTCTGTCAAGCCTATATATAGCCTCGTGTTGTACCCAGGTGATTCATTCAATTCAAACTCTCTTTCCTATGCTCGATCCTAGATCCTCACAGTGCGCCATGTCGGCCGGACCAGATGTTCGGATTGGTCAGGCGAGGGAGAGATCGGAATTTGCATCGATCTGCTAAGTGCCCGAAGTTTCTGCAGATTTTGCAGTCAAGGCGCCGCGGCCGCCGCTCTTCTGTGTTCTCTGTGTAGAAGGCGAGGCGTTCCTTGTCTCGTCGCGCCGCTGGTCGCTGCTGGTCCATGTCTCTCTGTTTGACGAGGAGGGCGGCGCATAGGGCGGCTTCCGAGATAACCCCCTAGTCTCGAAGAAGCGCCTTGCAGGGCCGCCATTCTGGGCGGAACCCTTGAAGCACGATGTTCACGAAGATTTCTTCGGAAATATTGCTTCCCAATTTCGTGATTTGATCGCGTAAGCCCCGACAGCGATTAATGTAGCTGTTGGCCTTCTCCCCTGGGGCCATTTTAACTCCAGTAGCTGCTGAAGCAGGCGACTCGACAAAACCGAGTCTTTCGGTTGGTACACGCCGTTCAGGTGCCGCCAGGCATTGAGGGCTGGAGCAGACGTTGTCTTGTACGAACGAATGCTCAGCTGCTCCACCGGCGACATGTTTCGCAGCAGGACGCCGTACGCCATCAACGATTCGTTGTAGTACTGCGCCCTGGCATCGGCGGTATCTTCAGCAGGTCCCGCATAGCTCCCGTCAAAGTAGTGGAATATTTGTGCGTTTTGCATGGTATTCTGAGCTGGTCCCATAGGACCTATTTTTTTTTTCTTAAGGGGCCACCGTTAGCTTGTATCCTGCCCGTTCGTTTCGCCCCGCCCCACGAAATCGCGACCGTCTGTTCGCTAGTGCCGCCCTGCCTAGCGCGATCGCCCTGACCTGGCCTATGCGCGACCCGTACGCGCCCTGATTGCGCCGCCTGCACGCACGCACGTGCCCCGCCCCCACCGCCCGCACGCGCGCTGCCCGAGCCCTACGCGCGCTCGACCCGCACGCTTCCTGCTCTGCCCGCGCACTGCCTGCACGGCCCGCGCTCTGCCCTGCGCGAGCTGCCCGCGCCCTGCGCCGCCCTGACCGCGCACTTGCTGCCCAGCACGCTGCTCGCGCTGCCCGCCGGCAACCTGCGCCCGGCGTGCGCCCTGCCCGCGCGCACCTCACGCGCGCCCCGCGCGCACCCACGCGCACCCTGCCTGCGCCCTGCTCGTCCGCGCTGCTACTGCCGTCACTTACGCGGCTGCTACTGCTGCATGCGCTGCTGCTGCTGCTAAGCGCGCTGCTGCTATTGCTGCTGCTGTCAGAATCCCAGCCACTAACCACTGGGATAGAAGGGCTTGTTCGTGTAGCGGGTGAGTGCGCCCATAACCCCCCAGGCCAACGTGCCTGTAACCCTTCCCTAGGATCAATCGGGGATCACCAGTGGACCTCTGACACCCCCCCGCATTGGGATGCCCGAAGTGCACACACTAGGATTTGAACCCGAGACCTCCGCTCTGATACCATGTCAGAATCCCAGCCACTAACCACTGGGATAAAAGGGCTTGTTCGTGTTGTGGGTGAGTGCGCCCATAACCCCCCAGGCCAACGTGCCTGTAACCCTTCCCTAGGATCAATCGGGGATCACCAGTGGACCTCTGACAGCTGCTGCTGCTAAGCGCTGCTGCTACTGCTGCTGCTCCATGCGCTACTGCAGCTGCGCTCTGCCCTGCCGAGCCCCTACCCATCAGCGCTGCTACTGCTGCGCATCTGCTGCCAAACGCGCTGCTGCCTCCTGAGCTGCTGCTGCCGGCTGCACTGCTGCTGCCACCTGTGCTGTTGCCACCTGTGCTGCTGCTGCTGCTGCTGCTGCTAAGCTACTGCTGCCGGCTAGGCTGCTGCTAATGCTCAGCTGCTGCTGCTGCTAGCCTAAGCCGCGCTGCCCTGCCCTGCAGCCCGCGCGCTGCGCTGCCCTGCCCTTAGGCCCGCGCGCCGCCCAGCCCTGCCGAGCTGCGCCGCCCAACCCGAGCCGCGCCGCCCTACAGCATTGCCCAGCCCCACCAAGCCGCCCTACTGCTGCTGCTGCTGCTACTGCTCAGCTGCTGCTGCTGCTAGGCTGCTGCTGCTGCTAGGCTGGTGCTGCCACCTGTGCTGCTGTTGTTGAGCTACTGCTGCCCTGCCGAGCCGCCCTTGCTGCAGCTGCTGGCGCTACTGCTGCTACTGCTACCACTACTGCAGTTACTGCGCTCGCCCGTGCCCTGCTTCCCACGCACCCTACTGGCCTCCACAGCCACTCCAACAGTCGCTACTACTGTTACAACCACAGCGACCACCGCTACTGCTACAGCTGCAGCTACAGCAGTCGCTACTACCACCCTTGCGCCGCTGCTACTGACGGCCACTGCCTGTCATAGCCACTATCACGGTCGTAGCAGCGTCTAGGGGTGGACAACAGCAGCCACTGCCTCACCCGGACACTCTATCACCGCAGAGCTTCGCGAGTGGGTTATTCAGCGAGGTCGTCCTGGTGGTGGAGGTTATCGTGCTGGAAGTGCTAGAGGTGCTGGACAGCAGCGGCAGCCCGCGCACCCGGACAGTCCCTCGTTACAGCAGATCCGTGAGTGGGTAGTTCAGCGCGGCCGTCCAGGTGGTGGAGGTTATGGTTTTATGGGTACTGGACAGCGGCTTCGCGACTGTGTTTCACAACGAGGCGTCCCTGGTTGTGTAGAGGCTCCTCCTCTAGGTGCTAGTGAGTCTGCTGCCGCTCTAGGTGCTAGTGAGTCTGCTGCAGCTCTAGGTGCTAGTGCGTCTACTGCCACTGGTCCTGCCTCAACTGAGGCCTTGCACACTTTCACACTTGACTCAGGAGCGTCACGTTGCTTCTTTTGTGATTGCACCATAGTCACACCGCTCGCAGCACCTGTCCCAGTCTCACTGGCTAACCCCACTGGGGGCCCAGTAGTAGCGCGAGCCTCCGCTGGCCTCCCATGTCCGGCAGTCCCCTCCGGCTCTCTTTTAGGCCTCCACCTCCCCTTGTTCTCAACGAACTTGGTGAGCAACACAGTCCTTCAGGATGCTTGGGTTGATATCTTTATCCCTGGAGGGTAGCGTGTGGCGATCTGTACGTGCTCACGGACTGGACGCCACCTTGCTACGTTCACTCGGCAGCCTGGGTCCAGTCTGTACACCCTGACCACTGTGTCTGCACAGGTGGCTGCGTCAGGTCAGTTGGCTGCGTCGAGTCAGGTGTCTTCGTCTGGTCAGTTCGCTGCGTCATGCTCGTGTCGGGTACTCTCCCACCAGACTCTTCTCTGGCACCACCGACTCGGTCACCCCTCTTTGCCGCGTCTCCGCAGCATGCAGTCCTGTCTCCTTGTCTCTGGCCTTCCCAGGTCCCTGCCCCCCCTTCCGCGCTCGCCTGCCCCGCCGTGCCTTCCCTCCGTCGAGGGGCGGCAGCGCGCCGCTCCTCACTCCTCCGAGTTTCCTCCGACCACTGCTCCTCTGCGGACTCTCCACATGGACGTGTGGGGCCCAACCCCCGTCAGTGGGACGGACCAGGAGCGCTACTTCCTGCTGGCCGTTGACGACTACACGCGCTACACCACGGTCTTCCCCTTCTGCAGCAAGCGGTGTTTTGATCCCCTAGATCCGCGCTACTCATCGCCAGCTGCGCGAGCGATTTCAGCGGGACCTTCCAGTCCTGCGTCTGCACTCTGACAGGGGCGGTGAGTTCTCTTCCGGCCTCCTTGCAGAGTTCTGTCGAGACGAGGGCATCATCCAGTCG